CTGAAGGGTGTCCTGGATCAGGGGGGTGGTCCCCACTGGGGTGCCTGGCCAGTCTGGGTGAGGGGCTGAGGGCTGTTTTCTGGCTGGCGAGTGACTGAAGCTTCCAACCGCTCCTTGTTTTCTTTTCTTTTTTTTTTATTCTGGGCCAGCTTTAGCTCTGAGGCCTCGCTGCTGAAAACATCGATACAAAGTTTCGGTCTGGCTGTCTTTCAGTCCAGCTGTTTTCTGGGGTTTTGTTTAGCTTCTTTTTTGCAACATAGTGTATAGTTGCTTAGAGTTGCAGATGAGATGCTGGCAAGTGAGGCGGGGAATGTTGGAGTCTGCAGCAAGCAAGCCTCGTGCTCGCTTCAGTGCCTGGCTGCCGGCCGCCATCTTGGCTGACAGTTAATTTGCATATACTCACTGATTAGCCAATGAAAAGGGTAGCGGTCGTACGCCAATTACCATGTTTCTCTTTTATTAGTGTAGATAGATAGATAGATAGTGCAAGAAGAGATTTATTTTTCAAAAAAATGTTATACTTAAAAATGTGTTCCTTCCTCCTTTCCTTCCCTTCTCTGTCCATCCCTCCCTTCCTGCCACTTTCCCTTCATTCCTTTCTTAATATTGTTTCAGTTCACAGCTCCTGTGGAGGCCATATGGTTTCTCAGATTTAATTTAACTTTGGGTGGCATTTAATTGTGTTATCACCCATTTGTAATTAATTCCATTTGTGGTCCATTGAAAAAATTCACAGTGAGGTGCCTCCTTTATGCTTTTAATTATTACCTACAGTTAAAATTCACTTTTTTCTTTCTTTTTTTTTAGAAAAAGTGAATCAAATTTCTCCATGATTTTATGTGTTAGTTTATTCTGTTATCATTTGTACCTCTTTGATTCTATCAAGTTTTAGTTTATTTCCTCACTTATCTAATTCCCAGCTAGATATAATAAGCTAGAAGCCTGGTGCATGGATTCATGCACCGGTGGGGTCCCTCGGCCTGGCCTGTGCCCTCTCACAATCCAGAACCCCTCCAAGGATGTCAGATAGCAGGTTTCAGCCTGATCCCCATAGGCCCGATCCTTGCAGGCCCAATCCCCGAAGGCTTGATCTAGACAGGAGGGAGCCCGATTCTGTGCGTTGAGCGTCTGCCCCCTGGTGGTCAGTGCATGTCATAGCCACCGTTCGACTGGTCATTTGGTCTCTTAGGCTTTTATATAGATAGATAGATAATTAAGATACAATTAAAAATATAATTTAAAATACTGTAGGGTTTAGAAACAGGTTGACCTATGTTTGAATGCTAGCTTTACAAATTATCAGCTGCATGATCCTGGACCTGTTTCTTTCCCTCTCTGAAGTTCACTTTCCTCATTTGCAAAATGAGGATTAAATAAGAATTATACATATATATGCATATATTATATATGTGTGTGTGTGTGTGTGTGTGTGTGTGTGTGAGATAGTCTTGCAAAAGAATACAAACTCTAATTGGAGTGTATAATACATATCCTTTTGTACTTAGCTTTCATCACTCAGCGGTTTTTCTTAGAGGTAATTATTTTTTTTAAATCCTCGCCAGAGGATATGTTTTTATTGATTTTTAGAGAGACAGGAAAGGAAAGAGAGAGAGAGAGAGCTTCTTTTATAAATTTACTAATCCCGTTCATAAGGGCTCTGTCCTCATGACCTAATCACCTTCTAAAGGCCCCAGCTAGCTTCTCATACCACCACCTTGGGGTTTAGGATTTCAATATATAAATTTTGGTGGTGGGAGGAATGGCATACACAAACATTCAGACTATAGCAACCATATGTCAAATCAGTAGGGGAAACAGGCTCTTTAATAACATGTTGGGATAATTGGTTAGCCTTCTGAACAGAAGTAATTTTGGAACCATACCTCAGTGTATACCATGATAAGAAAATAAACTGTATTAATGAAACCATAAATGTACTAGAAGGAAATGTATAAGGATGAAATAGGAGAGAACATGGGAAAGATCATTCTAATTATGATCAAAATCCAGAATTCATAAAAGAAGAGTAATGAGTTTGACTGTTAGTAAAGAATTTTTTCATAGCAAAAAAATCACTGTAAGCAGAATCAAAAACAAATATATGCTGAGCAAAACCATTGCAAGTCATGTTGTAGAAGTATAATCTCCTTGATTTACAAAGAACTTTTATTTGATAAGACTTGGTAAGAAATATTTGATTAGAAAATTGATAAGAAAAGGACTAGTAACTCAGTGGAACAATGGAGAAAGGATATAAGTAGATAGTTCACATAATAAAGAACTACAGATGGCACTACAATATATAGAATGATGCTAAACTCCACAGTAATGGAAATTATGATCTCATTATTTTGCATTTGCCAGATTGGCAGAATACAAGAGTTTATCTGTCCCATGGGCTAGTCTCACCTATGAGGAAATGGGCACTTAGACATTACTGGTTGGAGTCTTCATGAGTGCAATTGCCCTGTGATGGGGCAATTTGGTTATGGTAAGCAGGGTTATAAATATGTATACACTCTCTGACAATATTTTCACTTCTAGAAATATATTCTATAGATTTACTCATGTGTGAATGGGGTTAGATATGAGGTTACTTACAGCATTGTCATAGTAAAATTTCAAAAGCTATTCAAATGCCCCATTAATAGAGAACTGGATTAGTAGATTATGTTACCGCCATAATATGGAATCCAGTTACATAAGAGATGTTCTGTAAAGTGATATGCAAAGATCTTTATATTGTTAAATTTAAAAAAAGCAATATGTAGCACAATGGGCATAATATGCTTCCATTTATAAAAAGGGGAAACAAAGACATTGCATTGTATATGCATAAAAATTCTCTATTACTTTTACAAATGATAATGATTATCATTTTTAAAACTTAAATTCTCAAGTTACTGAATTCTAGATGTTAACTTGTTTTTATTGTAACTGTATTATTAAAATGAGTTCAATATTTAATTTTGGAAATGGAGGGGATGTGTAATATTTTATATCCGTGATTAGAGGTCTGGTGCATGAATTCGTGTACCAGTGGTTTCCTCGGCCTAGCCTGTGGGATCGGGCCAAAACCGGCTCTCCAACATCCCCCAAGGGGTCCTGGATTGCGAGAGTGCACGATCAGGGCCAGGGAGAGATGTGGGAGGTTGGTTAGCCAGGAAGGGACCGTGGAAGGGTTCCAGGGCATGTCTAGTCCGTCTCGCTCAGTCCTGATCAGCTGGACCCCAGCAGCAAGCTAACCTACTGGTCGGAGCATCTGCCCCCCTGGTGGTTAGTGCACGTTATAGTGACTGGTAGACTGCCCCCTGGTGGTCAGTTCACATCATAGCAACTGGTCGACTGGTCGACTGTCTGCCTGCTGGTTGTCAGTGCACATCATAGCAAGCGGTTGAGTGGCTTTAGCATATCATTAGCATATTATGCTTTGATTTGTTGAATGGCCAACTGGTTGACCAGACACTTAGCATATTAGGCTTTTATTATATAGGATTCTTGTGACCATTTTTAATTCTGTTGAATCAGGCTATCATGCTTAAGTTAATTCCTGCCATTCAAACTTGAGATAGTTTATTTCTGTTAAATTACTAAACCCAAATTAGTGCATGCGTATAATAAGGAAATTAAAAGCAAGATACTTTTCTATTCAGAAGTCTTTGGAAGTGACTTATTTCATATAAAACACCTCTTAAATTTACATTGTTGTGTCTGATTGCAACAGACTATGGCCACATACACTGTTATGAATGTAAAACAACCCATTTTAATGATATCCTTAGAAATTACCATATTTGATAAAGTTTTAAAATTTAATGATCAATTCCTAGTCAGAAATAGCATACTATATAAATAGAATTTAAAATATTAGATCTTTTCAATAACATCTGTTTGTTTGTTTTTTAATTTTTATCACACTAGGTAGTTTTGGATGTTGGTTGTGGAACTGGAATTCTCTCTATGTTTGCTGCTAAAGCCGGGGCAAAGAAGGTTCTTGGAGTTGATCAATCTGAAATCCTTTACCAGGCAATGGATATCATAAGGTAGATGCATTTTAAAGTTTGGCTTAAGATTATTTTTAAGTTTGATGATTAACAGGTTTTCTTGTCTTTAGTAGCTGTCTAATGCAGACTCAAGACATTTATCTTTTAGTAAAAATTTATTCCAGAATAATAAGATTTTAAGTTGAGCTAGACATGTGTGGTCTATGAATAATCTTTTCACTTTTCTCATTGATGAAAATTATTATTTTATTTTTTTAATATATTTTATTGATTTTTTTACAGAGAGGAAGGGAGAGGGATAGAGAGTTAGAAACATCGATGAGAGAGAAACATCAATCAGCTGCCTCCTGCACACCCCCTATTGGAGATGTGCCCGCAACCAATGTACATGCCCTCAACCGGAATCGAACCTGGGACCCTTTAGTCCACAGGCCGACGCTCTATCCACTGAGCCAAACTGGTCAGGGCGATGAAAATTATTTTTATATAACTTTCTGTCTTTCCAGTTATGGCTATATGTATGCTAATCTATAATAATAAAAGCATAATATGCTAATTAGACCGGACGTCCTTCCAGATGTCCTTCTGGATGAAGCCAACGGCCAGAGGGAAGCCTGGATCCCAGGTGCCTGCTGGCAACCGGAGGGAAACCCTGGTTCTGGGTGCCAGAGGGAAGTCAGTGCCAGCAGCCTGGGGAAGGAAGGCCTACTCTTGCATGATTTTCGTACATCAGGCCTCTAGTTATAACATAAAATTAGAAGTAATTTGCATACATGATAATATTGTTAGAGGACTCTACAGAACTAAATATTCATATCAGTAATATTTCCTTTAGTAAACAGCAATTAGATTAAACCCTAAGGGTATCCTTTTCTTTTTGATGGTATTAGATTCCTTCACATTAAAATATGTAAATTCCAAAATGGCTACAAACACAGTAGAGTGGATTTAATTTTTCCTCTAAAACTTAATTTTGTTCTCTAAAAATACTTCCTCTCTTTGAGGAGGTTAGTTAGGTGATTGATTTTACGATTGGCTTATGTCCTAATAAAAAGACCTTTATTTGAACTATAGCATATAGAACTAGATTTCTTTAGCTATGTACTTAACAAAAGCACCTTACATTTGGAACTTACAAGTAATTTTCAGGATAGATAATTAATAGGAGGCCCTTTAGCTATTCTTTTTTTCCCCAACTTTATTGAGAATTGACACACAGCACTGTGTAGGTTTGAGGTATACAGTGTGTTGCTTTGATACATTTATGTATTGCAAAATGATTATACCATAGCATTATCTAATTACCCCCATTGTGTCACATACTTACCATTTCTTTTTTGTGGTGATAACATTTAAGATCTACTTTCTTAGGAAGCTTAAGTACTTAATGCTGTAATCACCATGCTGAACTGTACCTTAGACCCCCAATAGCGATTCTTAAATGATCTTCACTGATACTTATGTTCTATTTTTAAAATTGAATAACATTTATCTTTTCTGGGTAGTATAACATTTAAATATGATAATGTAAAATGTTTAAATTTTTGGATTTTATGTCATGATATAAAAGTATAGATTTGTGGTTAAGAACACATGGATTGAGTCAGGCTTGGATTCAAGTTCTTGCTCTACCATTTGAACTTTGATTACATTATGTGTAACCTTTTTGAAATATTGTTTCACTGTCAAAATGAAAATAATAATGACTACCTCATCTGGTTAGGAGTAAGGTAAATAAGTTATGAATGAAGTATACATACAAGTTTTTGGCATACTCCCTGGCACGTAGTAGGTATTCAAAAGTTAGCTACTATTACTGTTAATTAACAAGTGCCAAATTAATGTTAATGAAGAAAACTATATTGATCTTGCTTAGATTATTCATAGATATAGGTTTGTGGTTATGATTTTCATTTTGGAGAATATGCATATACATATGTGGTTATTTATATATATACATGTGAGTATGTATATATGTGTGTG